ATATATATATATATATATATATGTCGGGGATTAATTATTTGAGAACTCTATATATTGTGATAACCGTGTGAACTATTACCTTAAGGCATTGCTTCACATGGTTTTTTTCTCATCTAAGGCTAGCATCTAATGTATTGGTGAACATATATTTGTTTCACAATGTGTTTGTTTCATATGTATGTTGTTGACAATATGAGACTTTACGTGTAACTTTTGTTTCACAAAGAGGTTAGAAAAGTTCACATTGTGAAACAAATATATGTTAATCGTTATTCTAAATCCTAGTTTTAAGTGGAAAAAAAATCATATTATATATATATATATATATATATATAGGGTTGGGTTCCGGTGAAGAGAGTTAAGGTGAGAAGCGTAAGAGGGGATCTCCACCCTTGGATGCGCATTAGGATGAGATGCATCGAGATATGCGCATTAGGATGAGATGCATCGAGATGTACCGGATCAATCCTTTTATCAAGCGCGATTCACGAGTGAGTTTGAGATTAAAGGTGATCGGGGGTCCAAATTCCTTCTTACACTTCTCACGATATTTCGCCTTTGGACCTAATGATCACTTTTAACCTCAAACCAACCCATGAATTGCGCTTTAGAAGAGAATTGATCCGATATATCTAATTATTGTTGATCTAGTGTTTTTCTTCAATTAGGATTGATCCAAGTGTGGAGATTCCTTCTTACACCTCTCACCATAACGTTCATTCTCACCAGAACTCAACCTTATGTACGTATATTAATTTAGTCAATTGATGACAAAAAGAACAGAAGTAACCAAAGAACAATTCATTGAACATAATGTTAGCATTTTGAACAAGTTCAACGAAAATTACATGAAGTGATGGCTTATAATTAGTTAAAATATTTTTGTTGTATTCCGTAATTGGAAACATATATATGGGGACCTTTTTTTTGAGAACTCATAAAATTATGATAATTTTAAGAATTAATGCATTATGTACTATTTCATATGATTTTTTTTCATTAAACACTAGAATTTAAAACATTGATTAATATATATTTGTTTCACAATGTGAACCTTTATAGTCTTTGTGAAACAAATGTTACACGTAGAAAAGTTTCAAATTGTGAACCGTATACATATGAAACAAATACATTGTGAAACAAATATATATATTCATTGTTACATTAAATGCTAGCTTTAGATGAGGAAAAATTATGTGAAATAGTACGTTAGGATATAAGTTCTCACGGATGTCACAATATATGAAGTTTTCAAATGATTAAACCTTGTATATATTAAGTCAGTCCAAATGAAAACAATAACTTAATAAGAGAATAAGAATACCGTCGAATCACATATAATTTTAGACTAAGTTCATGTATAAAATCAAATATGATTTTGTATGTGATTCAACCATTTTTGTATTCTCTTATTTAGTTACTTTTTCATTTGAACTTCCTCCTCTCTCTCTCTCTCTCTCTTTATATATATATATATATATATATATGTATGTATCTCTCTCTCTCTCTCTCTCTCTATATATATAGGGTTGGGTTCACGTGAGACCAAAGGTTTTTCGTGAGACCCGTAAGACCAATTTATGTTCATTGATCAATTTTATAAGCTAATGATCTAATGGTCTAAAGTTGCACAGTGACAATTTTGTGATTATTGAGAAGTCTCGTGGCAATTTTGTGATTATTGAGAAGTCTCGTGGCAATTTTGTGATTTTGAATGTTCAGATTGTTGATCTAATCCAAGGTTTGAGAATTGGTCTTACGGGTCTTACGAAAAACCTTTGGTCTCACATGATCCCAAGTCTTTCTCTCTCTCTCTCTCTCTCTCTCTATATATATATATATATATATATATATGGAAAGATTTAAATGAGAACACATTCATTTTACGAGGAAACGAGAACACTTTTTTGCTATAGACAATCACATGCGATACTATTATTTTATCACGTATAATACTATTATTGTGGGTCAAGTCGCTCTTACACCACTAAGCCCCCTCACATGAGATAAATGTGTTATTGATGTGATACTATAATTCATCAAGACCATCACATGTGATACTAAATCATAGACGCAAATGCGACCTAAGTCGCGGGATCCGACGTCCGTAAACCACTAGGTTCTCAAACGTGTATTATTACATGTGATAAGAGTGTTCTCGTGTTCTTATAAATTGGAGGTGTTCTCATTTGAACATCCACTTATAATATATATACACACACACACTGTGGTTTATTTTACAAACCACACAAATCAATCCTACCACTTATTTGTTTCATCAACGGTTGAGATTAAAACGGTTACATGATTATAGTTAAACATAATAATAATAATAATAATAATAATAATGTAATCGTTTAAATTTCAATCGTTGATGAAACAAATGAGTGGTTATGATCAGTTCACATGGTTTGTGAAATAACCTTGGCCTGTATACAGGGGAGGGATTAAATGCAAACCAAGACATCAGTAAAAACCATACAAATCCTTTATTTCATTGTTTAATTTAATGAAATTGTTTTATCAAATTGTTTAATATGATGAAATTATTTCATATAATTATTTTCTTGATGAAATTGTTTAATAGATTTTTGTTTTTATGTACAAATAAAATTGTTTCATGTATTTCTCATTTTGATGAAATTTGTTTTCTAAAATTATTATAATAAACATGATAAGGTCCATAATTAACATTCTTCATCATAATAAGAAAAATGAGTAATCAACCTTCACAATTAAAAAAAAGTGGAAAAGAAAAAAAAATTATGATTGATTGAATGAGTTTTGTATAATTTATATAAATAACTTGGTTTGCATTTGATCCTTT